AAAAATTAATTAAATAAGAATAGCCGAGTTTTCTAATTTCTAACTTGATGGCGGATTGAGAACGTTATGTTGGCATTTGCATGTGTCACGTAAACAAAGGTTTTTTTTTTTTTTTTGCTTGAAAAAAAACAAGAAGAAAGAAACAGCCATCACGAGTCGTGGACTCACGGCACAATGCCATCCCCAGCTGGTAATCAGCGCCGCCCTATCTGTGAGATCTCCAGTACATGATCCACTGTGAACTATGGCAAAATATTAATTAATACCTCATTTGTTCTTGTTTTAAGATCATATCCAAACTCCCGAGACATGTAGGATGATTATCCGGTTGATATTCTGCCAAGACCTCATGAACTCCGTTATCCATCTCCGTTCTTACCTTCCCCGGTGGCCCACCCTTCTTATTTAGTCGCTGTCTCTGTAGTTTTGTCCCTGCATGATTGTTTTAATTTCGCGCTCCCCACACCACCTTCTTAGCTTCCATTCGATTCGCGCGGAAGAAGAGAAAACATTAAGATCTAATTATCTGGAAGGTCAAACACTGGTTTGTTGTGTTCAGTGATGGTGGATTATTGGCAGAGAGGTTACATCCTTCTACAAGAACAGATGGCTTGTGTTTGTGGTTACAATGTGGTTGCAGTCATGGCTGGTATTGGGTATTTGTTTGGTAGCATATCGCCGGTGATTAAGAGATCTTTGAACTACAATCAGAGGCAGCTTGCTGGGTTGGGTGTGGCCAAAGACCTTGGCGATTGTGTCGGCTTCGTTACTGGGGTCTTGTGCGAGATTTTTGCCTTCCTGGGGTGCTTTGCTTGTTGTGTTGTTCCTCGTTGAACTTTGTTGGATATGGCTGGGTTTGGCTCATCGTCACCGGGCGAGCTCCCGCTTTACCTTTGTGGGCTGTGAGTTTTTTCTCTCCCTTCTCTCTGATTTTGGACTCTTCCGTGTTTACGATTGCCATAATTGCAGTTACTTTCAATCGCTGGATGGTTCCCTCTTTTTCATCCCTTTCGTCTTATACTTTACTTGATCAGAAGATTTTAATAGGTCTTCAAATTCCTTGTCTGTCTGTTGCTTGATTGTTGATTTTTGTCCTTTTTGCACTTTTTCTTGTTCTGCCCTCTGGTTGAAATAGGCCGATCAAGCCAGTGGATTCGGCTTTGTGGATTTGACTTTACTTTAAATTTGGTTTCAAATCGAGTGTTCCGGTCTCCTTCTCTTCGACTTGAGCGAGTTCTCCATAAGAGGGAGGCGAAATCCTGTTTTCAGGATGAACCAAGGATGACATAAATCTTGACTGGTGGCGGCAAAGGAAGCCAAGCCAACTGTTATACAGAGTTCGAATTTTTCCAGGGCAAAACTCCACGAAACATGGAATTTGATATCGGAAAAAAGATTCTTTCTTTTCCATATAATGGAAGGACTTCGAAGCCAGAAGATTAATTGGCTATTTGCCGCTCCCAAAAAGTTTATCTTTTCAGGCTCTTCTTTCTGAAACGAATATTCACCGAGTTTTGAGTGCAAAGTTTCGTCGTTTTTCTTCCTTTCCTTTCTTCCACGATGGGTGTTAAAAGTTTATATGGCCCCCCCTCTTACGTATTGCCCATTGCCTGTGCCAAAAATTGACGAGGTACAAGAATAGCGTGAAAGATGAGCTGCGCAGCTACACTTGGCATAACCCAGAACTTGACAAAAGTGAAGCCCTTATCTCCTGCTAACGAGCATCATAAGCTTGCTGGGTTCTTAGCAGCCTAATTTAGATGTCCAATAATGGCTTTTTTTAACCTAATTTTTGCCGGGTATAGATAACTTAAAGGGAAAGCGCTTCGGGTTGTTAATCCAATCCTGACTACTACACGTCTTAATTGCAATTAAGGACGCTTTGGTTACAAATTAAATTGTTTACATCTTTGAGCCTTGTTTGTCCATATCGGCACTCTTTTTTTAATTATGAAACGAGTCATTCTACTGTTACGTGACGAACTGCCTGGATTATGTAATTAATGATTATGAGCATGCAGATGTGCGTTCTTATATTGTGGAACAAATGGCGAAACTTACTTCAACACAGTTGCTTTGTGTCCTCCATTCAAAATTCCCAAAAAGTAGAGGCCCGGGTTGGAATTCTGAAGGCTTTGCTGGGCTGAGTGGTGCAATCTTGACTCAAATATATGCTATGATCCATTCCCCTGATCACGCGTCACTGATCTTCATGGTTGCAGTTGGTCCCACTTTGGTAGGAATAGGTCTGATGTTCATTATCAGACCTGTCAAAGGTCACAAGCAAATTAGGCCTTCAGATGACGCAAGCTTCACATTTGTTTACAGTGTGTGCCTCTTATTGGCTGCTTATTTGATGGGGGTCATGCTTGTTCAAGATCTAGTAACCTTGAATCATACCACTGTTATGATTTTTACAGTAGTCTTGTTTGTCATCCTCCTTGTCCCATCTTCGTTCCGATTTCAACGACGTTTTTCTCAGAGCAAAAAGCTTCAGAAGAGGAAGCACTCCTTCCTCAGCCCGAGACACTAGAACGAGGTAATTCAGAAGTAATACTGAGCGAGGTGGAAGATGAGAAGCCTGAGGATGTGGACTCACTTCCTTCATCAGAAAGGAAGAAACGCATAGCACAATTACAATCAAAACTAGTCCAAGCTGCTGCGGTAGGGGCAGTGAGAATCAAGAGGAGAAGAGGACCTCGCAGAGGGGAGGACTTCACCTTGGCACAGGCTTTGATTAAAGCAGACTTCTGGCTTTTTTCCTATCCCTTCTCTTGGGTTCAGGATCAGGACTGACTATAATAGACAATTTGGGTCAGATAAGCCAGTCTTACAGTATGAGAACACGCACATATTCGTGTCCATGATCAGTATCTGGAACTTTCTCGGCCGCCGTGTAGGAGGGGTTACATCTCTGAGATTGTAGTGAGGTGAAAGAGCTAGTTCATAGTTATAACACTTATCATAATTTGAAACCATGTTTCTGATTCCTTTTATGTAATGTGTTGAGCAGGGATTATGCCTTTCCAAGGCCAGTTGCATTGGCTGGGTTTCAACTTGTAATGGCTTGGGGGCATGTGTTCATAGCAATGGGATGGCCGGGGGCAATGTATGTTAGTACCCTACTGGTTGGGCTTGGTTATGGGGCCCACTGGTCAATTGTTCCAGCTGCTGTTCTGAGTTATTTGGTCTCAGAAATTTCGGTGCTTTGTACAATTTTTTTACCCTGGCAAACCCTGCAGGAACTCTTGTTTTCTCTAGCTTAATTGCCAGCAGAATCTATGACTACGAAGCAGAACAACAAGCTCGTCAGGGATATCAGTATCAGAATCTAGGATCATTATTGTCAGTGTGGTCAACGCTGCTGAACCTCCAAATGTGAAGGTTCCATTTGCTTTTTTTGACTTGTGTGCTCATGGCAGGACTCTGTATTATGGCAGCAGTTTTAAGCATGATTCTGGTGCGCCGAACTAAGACTGTTTACGCCAGCCTATATGGGAAATCTACCACTAGAAATATTGGGTAATCAGCGTGTTTGGATCATATGTATCTTGGCGTTTGTACTCTTTGAAATGTATTTTATGTGGATTCACATGAAGAAGGATTAAGGTTCAGAGGAGGCAGCATCGGATGCTATTTTCCTGAGGGTAAAAATGCTAAACACGGGGAAAGAAACAGAGGTGTTTCGTTCAGCGGTTTTGCCCGGTGATTTCCTGCCATCTAGCTGCTACACATATATAGTCACCAACATTGTTTTGTCAATAATAATGTGTTGTATTATTTTATTGTGCTATCATGCAATTGATTGAATTAATTAGTCATTTTATTCACATTTAGATTTATTTTCAGGCAGGAACAAAAGTTTGTTCGTTGGATTTTTTTTGGGCAGTTTTGAATAGCACTTAATTTTGTTTCCTGTCGAAGCATCTCACGGGTTGCAAATTGCATTGTGCAAGACTATTCCCCCAAATTTGGGAGGGCATCCAAAGCATCCAATTTCTACTATAATAAATTGTTTCTATTTATTTTCTTTAACTCGACGGTTTATTTAAGAACTTTAATTTGATAGAAATATAACGAGTAACTAATTTCCTATATATATTCTCCAAATTTTTTCATACCCTTGGCCAGACAAGAGAACTGGGGAGAATTATAATAAGGTTTTAAGAAAAAAATAATTATAAATAAATTATAATAATAAGTAAGTAATTGTCATACAACTTCCGATCTTAATTGATTTTTAATTTAATCCTAAATATAATATTTTAATATTTTTTTATTATATTTATTTATTTTTTTGAGATACTTCTTATAGTAGTCGCATGTATTAAATGTTTCATCTAGTAACACTTAATTAGTAAGGTATTTTAGGAAAGATAACATCTATTTATTATAAATAAACTAACTTAATTATTTTTTTAATCTATTCTAATAATCAACTAGTTTTTATTAAAAATTAAAAAAGTAGTAATATGAACTGTTTTATAATAATTATGTTTTTCACATGAGAATTTAAATTTTCGCTTAAGATCTTTTTCACCTCCTTGCGTGAAATGAATCTCCTGACCAGTTGATCCGCGCTCTTTGCCCCGCCCCAAAAAAAAGAAATCAACATTTTTGGGAGCAAATTCGATTCAAACTTAAATTCGAAAAATTTAACAGGTTCGGTTCGACCCTAATTTGTAGCCCTTCCCAGCTTCACTGTTGATTCAGCAAGCGCTGAAGGGGAATCGACGATGGCGATAGAGCAGAGGTGACGGGCGATATGAGCAGACTTGAACAGGGTTCCCGTACTGGAAGGCTATCCGTCGCCGTTTCGGCCCGGACTCTCCTTTCTTTGCTTCCGGTAATATCGAACGGGAACTTCTTGCTAAACAGGTTCTTTTTCCCCTTTTCATTCTATCCATGCATATTCCTAAATGTTACTTCACCAACTCGCCCCCCTTCCCCATTAAGTCATAACTCTGTCTTCATTTCCTCGTGACGGACATTTTGAAATGTAGCTGTGTTTTTAATTTCCTACACTCTATCTCTGTTTAGTGCAATGTTATTTCGATCTTTTTTTGTCAGTTTAACCCTAGCACTTACTGAAAATTCAAGTGGAAACTTTTCGTTTGATTTCAAGATTGCCTTGGAATTAACTGCGGAAGAGAAGCAACAGCTTTTTGTACCAGATGAATACAGGTAATTTTGGTTATCTTCCTGGTTCTTATTGTAGCCTGTAAAGGATCGATATTATTTTATCACCATTTCCATATGTCTAACGCGCAAGCTCTAGACTCTACTCTATGATTATGGTGAAGGCATCTTGGCTGGTGTATTAATATGCTTTTAAGAAGTTGGCTCTGATAATTGCTCGTCCTCAGACCAAAAAGGAAGAAAGAAAGATTGATAATCCCCATACTATATGATATGTTAGGCGCCCGAGAGTGCAGTGTGTTAACCAAATACGCTGCTTTGTCTTTACTCATTTGATGGAAGCTATTGGAATTTCGAGTTTTTTGAGGTTGCTGCTATATGGTGGGGTTTTGTTTGTTATTGTTGATACTTCAACTGTTGTTCTACATAGCATAAGGAAATTTCGCACCACGCTCCAGACCTTGGCCTGTTAAAGAATTTGCTTGTTCGGTTTGATGGTATTCACGACTGGTAATGAATTTGCCCCACGTGAGCCTGATTCTTTTGCCGTTCTTTGCGCAGGAAAGTCCCCTGTCCCATTGTTGGTTGTGGAGCATGCTTGACTTCCTTGGAGGAATTTGAGAATCATTATAATGCACGGCATACTGCCTCTTGTTCAGTGTGTTCTAGAGTCTACCCGACATCTCGCTTGCTAAGCATACATGTTTCTGAAGTGCATGATTCGTTCTTTCAAGCAAAGGCTGCTCGGGGCTATGATGTGGCAAGTATTTCCAACTTCCATTCATATTTGTACCATGTGATGGTTACTTTTAAAGCTGTCTTTATTTGTACATTTTGATTCTTAGTTGAAGAATTGACATTGAATTCTTGATGCAATTTGGATTTGACAGCTTTTCTTCTTATTTCCCCCTTTTATGAGCTGGGACTTGTTTTGAAAGTTTAAACTTCAACATACGTATCATTTTTGCATCCACATGCTTTCTTCCTTATTCAGAGGGCTGAGAAATTAATATGATCCTTGTATCCTTGCCTAACAGTATGAATGCCTAGTGGAAGGCTGTGGTTTAAAGTTTAAAAACTACAAGAGTAGGCAACAGCACCTCATTGACAAGCATAAGTTCCCCACTTCCTTTGAGTTTCTAAAGAAGGCTCGACCATCAAAGAAACAAAGGCAGAAGATTCAACGGAAACAAGATCCGCAAAAGGAGAATGATTCAAGAACAATGGAAGTGGATAATGCAACCATGGATGGCCTTGTGACGGCAGTCTCTAAATTGAGTACTTCGGACTCAACTCCATCATCTGTCAGCTTTGGTCGCCGGCACACTCGTGGTTTGACATTTGTCCCTAGAGCTGTTCAGCGTGAAGCCGGATCAAACGCTGCATCACCTAGAAGAAAGCAGTGAAATAGCCTTCAGATCAGCCTGCATACTAACTCTTCTTTGTTATTTTTCTTTTGTGACGAATGTCGAAGCTGATGGCGTCAAACCAGAGTTATCAGATATCTGAAAAAGAAGAATCATTCTAATGCCGATAAGGGCATACATTAGTTCAGATCTCCCTGATGTAATTAATACTCTTTTGGTCTTAGGGAGTGTTGTTCAAAACCAAAACCACGGTTTCAGAATCACTTTTTCGTAAAACGAGATAATCTCCTTCACATATTTACTTTGTAATCCGTAAAAGCACTTCTGAAATCATGGTTTGGTTTCTATCCAAACACTCCCTTAATGTAAGTCCTATTTAACTAATTTGATTAAATTAAAAAAGTCAAATAAGTTAGTTAAGTATAACAAATATAACATGTTTTCCTAAAACATTATAATTATTTTTCTTAATATCATTTCTCTTTCTTTTATTTTATTATGTATTACAGTTAAGATTAATAAATATAGAAATGGGTATTATATTTAACCTAACTTAATAATTAGATTATATTGAGGATAAGAAGAGTGTAATATTTTAATATTATTGTTCTTTCGTCTCCGTCTAGAGAATGGCCAATTTGTCATTGGTGTGCGTAAACACTGCTCATATTTAGGATGGCGGCTTGGGGACCTTCGTTCACATCTTTTTCCCCGTAGATTTTTCACTGTTGGTGAAATGAATATTTTTAAAAAATATGTTGTCATAGGACGGATGGAGATGCTAGTAGTGGGTTTTTTTAACCAAAATGTTATAAACAGCAAAATTATATACTAAAATGTTGTATTTTTAAAACACACAAGTTACTCTTGACGTGAATAACTTCAGAAATCGTTCTTGGCTTGAATAATTTGACTTTTTTTTTATTCACTTTCTTTGCGAGAATTTCTGCCAATTTTACGTGCAAGAATCTCTCACACTATGCACGTGAAAATTCCATTCTCTTCTTGTGAGGCTACAACATCATATCTGGTTTTATATATAACATGTTGCTCTCTTTTCTCCTTCTTCTCTTACTTCATCTCTAAAATCCGAACTCTTTCTTCTTCTTCTTTTTCTTCTCACTTGCTCTATTTTCATTATTCTCTTGCTTTGTTATTTTTTCATTACTGCTTCCAAACACTTGACAAGTTTTTTTATTGCTGCTGCTGTAGATATGTTTCTCTTTTACTTTTTCTTTAAAAATTTGCAGCTGTGATATAGAATTCGATTTTTCATCCAATTTTTACTTAGGCTTGTGACATATCACTGTCGCCATCATCTCCTTCATCTCTGTCGATCCTATACAGCTTGAGTCTCATTACATGGCATCCTCGTCATCATCTTCTTCCAACTCAGCCAATCCTTCTCAATTTCAATCGTTCATGACTTTATTAGATAATCTTATACTATTTTCAATTGAACACAATGCTTCTACTTCTGAACATGGTGGATCATCAAATGAAACATTTGTCACTCTTTGACAATCTATACATTTAAATGAATTACCTTGGTTTGATTTGAACATGTTGACTACAAAAACAAACGAGACACTTAAATCTCAAAAAATTGACATACAACGACAACGGCTACAACATATGAGAAGGAGGACAAGATGTGGTACTAGAAGTCACTATCAGTAAGGTGGATAATTTTTTCCTCATAGACTTAATTTTTATTTATTATTCTTTACAGTAAAATATTTATTGCTTTTTATTTTTAAGTAATATATATCTTATACTTATTTCACAATTAGTTTTAATATCATAATGTAATTATCAATATTTTCTTCTCATTATTTAGTAATCATTTTGTCATTCAAATGATTGATAAATCATTATACTAATAATTTCATTTTCATTTATTAGGTGAGAAGTTGTTTACCAGAAGAATGATTTTTGAAATTGTTCACTAGAAGAAAGATTTTTGAAGTCGTTCACCAAAAGCACGATTTTCAATCACTTCATGGAAGTCGATGACTAGTTCTGAAGTTGTTTACACTAACAACGATTTTTGAAATTATTCACGTCAAGAACGACTTGTGTGTAAATTGAAAGCCGTTTTTACTGAGAACGATTTTAATTACTTGTGTGTAAAAGTACAGTATTCTGATATATAATTTTACTGTTTATAGTATCTTGATAAAAAAAAACCTTAAAAGTGAGGATGAAATGAAGTCCCTCTTCGCTTAACTTCTTTATAAATGAAGTCCGACAAATAATCAATTTAAAAAAAGCTTTCCTATTTGCCAAGGTAAAATTACTCTCGTACTGTTCACTAAATCATTTAAAAAGAGTATGAGATGAGGAGACGCTATATCTTTTTAATGATGACTCATAAAATACAAGATAAGTATGTATATAAAAATGTTTATAAATATTTAAAAAAACACAAATACAAAGAAGGTCCAAGGAGGGAATCAAAACACGAATTTAAAAGGAAAAATAGTAAAAAATAACCATTGAAATAGAAATATTATAAATAAGGACACATGACAATATTAGTATAAGTTTTGATAATAATTCTTATAAACTGATTCCTGTGTATACTTTTTTTTATTTCAACGTTTTTTTTTTATACTATTTTCCCAATTTAAAACACGATCGTTAGAAAGGGTGAGCAGCGATCCATATTTTCAAATGGCGTTGTTGGCCACCGGCTTCCGCAACTTGTTTGTTGGAATTATCGTCGAAGGACAATGGGTTGGGCTTTGATTCCACCACATGGCAGTAATTAATTGAAGCGATCAGAAAAACATGGATGGCAATCCTCACGACCACATCAAGGCGGCTTCTCTGCTAATATGGTATGGATGCCACGTATAGCTCTCCTTCTTCCACATAACATGCAAGCCCTGATGCCTGTAGTGTGAAATGGTATTACTTGTATTTTGTAGCTTGATTTTTATATATTTTAATTTTTAAATTAATATAAATTCTTATTTTAGGTGATAAAGATAAGGTTCGTGAGATGGCTGACGTAGCATTTCCTCCTTTAACAAGTATGCCTACTTTTAAAGGGTTGAGTATTTTATTTTATTTTTTTACGATGAACACGAAGACTAAAAGAATACTTAATTTCGATTTTAAATCTGGACTTTAAAATAATTTATATCTTGTCCTTCAACACTTGCTTTTTTCTGTTCAATCTAGAGCTCATTTCGGTCCTTTAAACTGATTTCGTCCTTAACATGTATTATGATCATAAAAAATTTAATGTAAAAAGAATTATTTAAACTTTTGGTTCGACTGAAAAATCCAAGCTTAGAATAAAGGGAAAATGACATAAAAAGAGGTTAAAAATGGTAATATTCTAATTCAAGTACTTAAGAGGTTAAAATCTCAGAAGAGGAAGTCGTGCCTGATTTGATATTTTGTAAATGTAATCAAATGACTAAAATGTCTTTATATCAGATTTTCTAAAAAAAGCTATCAAACTTGTCATTACTTGTTTAACATTTTTCATTATCAATTTATAACTTATTAATAAATAATTTGTCATTATCAGTATATTTTTTGTCATTTTCTGTTTAATACTGGTCATTGTTAGTTCACAAATTGTTAATAAATTTTTGATATAACATATTTTTGTCATTTAACTATATATATAAAATACCAAATCAGACATTACTTTTTTTTCTGAGATTCTAACCTTTTAAATACCTAAATTAAAATATTATAATTTTTAACTTGTTTTCTAGAACAAAAACATTGGTATGCTTCAGTCCATATGAGTTAGGCCCGGAAAAAGCGGGCCGGCTCCTTTTGCGGTCTAATAAATTTATGTTGGGCTTCCATTGCATATCATACGTGGCATCCGCGCGGGAAGCGCACGCTCTTTGAGTGAGTGCCGCGCATGCATCCCACAGAATCGCATACGTGGTTTTTATGCCACCACATGTAGATATGCACCATCGCGAATGCCTTGATTTCGAGAATCATAAAACAGAACCCAACTTAGAATGTTTAAAAATAAACAAAATTAAAGCAAAAACCATTATTTCATATTTATTTTCAATCTAGATATGTATATTTTTCTAATTTCGTTAAGGCATTACAGAAGTTCTGTTTATTTTTTAAAATCTCAATTTTTCTAAAAAATAAAAATAACTTACGCACATTTCTTTAAATATTATAAAATCATAGAGACGTTCATTTCTTTTTTTAAAAAAAATTTATACAAATCTTCACTAAATATAAAAAATAGATCATTTAAAAGTTTCATAAATTTTGTTAAAGCTCAACGTATAATTTTTGAAAATATAAAATAAGTACATATCAATATAATTAAGTAAGAGAATTTTTAAAATTTTTTTTTTACAGTGATCAGTGATGTATGATTTTGATTTAAAAACTGAAAACGGAGGGCGCACCAAGCGTTTCCCACCAAAATTTCCAAACGTTCAAACGAAGCCGCAAAAGAAAACAAACTCGTGTCATCGGAATGTGGATCTGAATTCCCCAAATTATCCCTCCCACTTCAGTCTCCCGCAAGCTTCTCCCGTAATTTTCAAATCACCCGCTCCCTCTCAATCTTTCAATCCATCTCTTCCCGCTCTTCCCTCTCTTTTATATATCCACTCCCTCTTCTTCATTCTTCGTGCCTCCACATCTTTCCCTACTTCACTTTCAAATTCAATCTTCTTACGATTCTGATTTATCTGTTTTCACGATATGCCTGCGATCCCAGAAGAGCCTTTGCTCGCTTCTAACCCAGACAGGTTCTGTATGTTTCCCATACAATACCCTCAGATATGGGAGATGTACAAGAAGGCCGAGGCTTCATTCTGGACTGCTGAGGAGGTCGATCTCTCCCAGGACCTTCGTGATTGGGAATCTCTTACTCAGGGCGAGAAACATTTCATTACCCACGTCTTAGCTTTCTTCGCTGCCTCCGATGGTATCGTCCTTGAAAATTTAGCTGGTCGGTTCATGAAGGAGGTTCAGGTCGCCGAGGCCCGCGCCTTCTATGGCTTCCAGATTGCCATCGAGAACATCCACTCCGAGATGTACAGTCTGTTGTTGGAGACCTATATCAAAGATTCTGATGAGAAGCACCGTTTGTTTCACGCCATAGAGACCGTTCCTTGCGTGGCCAAGAAGGCCCACTGGGCCCTTCGCTGGATCGATGGTTCGGAATCGTTTGCAGAGCGCTTGCTTGCCTTCGCTTGCGTTGAGGGCATTTTCTTCTCGGGCAGTTTCTGCGCGATATTTTGGCTGAAGAAGCGCGGTTTGATGCCGGGTCTCACCTTTTCGAACGAGCTGATCTCGCGAGACGAAGGGCTTCACTGTGACTTTGCTTGCCTTCTGTATTCGCTGCTGAGGAAGAAGCTGAGCGAGGAGCGCGTGAAGAGTGTCGTTCGTGATGCGGTGGATATAGAGAGAGAGTTTGTGTGTGATGCTTTGCCGTGTGCTCTGGTGGGGATGAACGGCGATCTAATGAGCCAATACATTGAGTTTGTAGCTGACAGGTTGCTGGGAGCTTTGGGATACGGGAAGATGTATAATGTTCAGAACCCGTTTGATTGGATGGAGCTGATTTCGTTGCAGGGCAAGACCAATTTCTTCGAGAAGCGGGTCGGAGAATATCAGAAGGCCTCTGTTATGTCCAGTTTGAATGGCAATGGTGGCGTCCATGTCTTCACTATGGATGAAGATTTTTAACTTTTCTCAAACTTAATCCCCTAATATATATTATAGCCTTCCTGTAATAATAGTTAATGTCCTAGGGCAAGTTTGTTTGTACCTTTTCCCCTCTCTTTGATCACTTAATTTTTTTGTTTCTTCTATAAAAATTGATAAAAAAAATTTGTATTACGAGATTATTTCAATTTTTTGGTTTTTAGGATGACTATTTCTTGCTGAATACTTAATTTATGGTGTTACACACAGTCTAAGTGGCATCGCTGAACCAGATATAACAAATGTTTTTAGTCTACCCTGTTCTTTATTATTTTTGTTTTTTTGGCCAATGATCTATCCTGTTCTTTATGGGACTCAAGTTTATTTGATATGTCAAGGTGCTGTTGAAACTGCGTCCTCCTCATTTCTAAGTGTCTTGAAGTTTTTGACTGCAGAGTTGCATTTTTGTCGCCTGCATAAAGAAAATCATGTATTGAACGTTTTCTCAGAGCAAATGAAAGTATGAAACTGTGGATCAAGGATAAAGGCATTGGGATATTTCAATCTTGTAATACAGAAGCACTAGATAAATTTAGTTCAACTGGCTTCTCACGAAATTAGATCAGAGCTGTCATTTGATCATCAACAAACAAGAGAAGATATACAGAGATAATTGAAGAATTGGAAATTGAAATTTTTTCCGGGAAGAAAAAAATTGAGTTAGGATCTGCATCTTTGCTTAACTGGGGAGTTATTTCTTCCAGCTGTAGCTGGTACTGGCTTCATCAACTCGGGAATTCCCAGAAAAACTAGCTTTTGCCAGCTCCCTTAACATCTTTAGCTCATTTCTTGGCCCAGCCTTGTGTCCTTTTAGCCATTTACCTTCCACTTCTATATGTTCATTGATATCTATCTCTGGCCTCTGATCTGTTGTTTCAATAAGATTGGGGCTTGGTGTACCTGAACTGAGCACAGGGACTATAGTAGCAGTCATGGCACTGGTTGGATCCATATATCCTGTTCTATTTCCTCTTTCGAATTCTGTTTCTGAACGAAGAGGATTTACTGGAAGTATCTCTGCATTTGGTTGGGAAGACGAATGTATAAATCTACACCAATGATGCTTGGGAAGGAAAGGCAAGATAACTCCTTTGGCAGCAAACTTTATTCCATGCCTAAAAGAATTCTTGTGAGGCTGTGAGAATCTGGACAGTGATGTTATCATAGTATACCATTGGTTGATAAGCTGAGCAATAAAAGAAGCCAGAAGAAGAATCAACAGAACCAATCCCCATGTCTTGGCTTCAATCAGGTTCGAGTTATTCTGAAAGATGAATATGGCAAACACACCTCCCTCACACAAGAGGGCAACACTTTCCGCTACTTGGACACTCCTCCTTATGTATGGTTTGAAGGTAAAAAGATAAATGAACTGTACTGCTGTGATTATCAATGCAAGCAGACTTTTACTTGATCTCTCTGATGAGTAGGCAACAGATATGATTCCCAAAGCAACCCTTCTTAATAGATCAAGAACGATATAAAATGACCTTGCCTGGCCCAAAACCTTCTTGGACAATGGAGTCTTGATTTCTTTATTGCTGCCATCCGAGCTGACTGCCTTCATTCTTCCAATCCCACTTTGACCTTTTTTAGCCCACTTCACGTGGGTGTTTGAATCAACTTGATCAACAAAAACAGGGACCGGACAACCCTTACAATTGTCGAAAAGAATCCCAAATCTTGGGAGGAATGATGAAGGCAGTCCTTCCTCGTAAAACCACTTTCCATTTGTTGACCTGCCAGTAAAGAAGAACCAGAACCTCCTGCTCCATGTTTCTTCGTTTACTAATTGTCTGACTTCTTTATACTGGACAAAATTCCCAGAGAAAATTGCAATAAAATGAAAGAGGGATACTGACAGGACGAATGCTACAGGAATTGCTAACAATAAAGCCCCCGTTATAATTCCCCGGGCTGTGCCACCTGCACATAGATATGGTTTCAACATGTTAGTGCCCATAATCCTGCAAAAGTCGATGACTGAAGCAAGACAGTGAAAAGTAGTCTCTTACCTTTTATTACGAACGTTGAAGACTGAGAAATGCATGGCAGCATGAGAATCAGAAGAAGGAGCTCAAACCTAGGAACTGATAGGCTGCCTTGAGGTGATATTCCGGTCCTCCATCTCAAGAATAATACGATGGAAACATGAATTAAAACTAAACTGCCTCCTCCCACTCCGAGCCAGAACAAGTTCTTCTCCAAGTCCAGCCACCTGTTAGAGAAGAAGCTTAGATTTTTACCCATGCAAAATCAATAGTTCATTCTGTCACAAGTGGATATGAAAAAACTAGAAGTCTTGTGACAGTGATTGTCTTGAATCTAATGTTTAAGCATAAAGGTTATCGTAAAGCTATAATACCCGTTGTAATTCCCCAGTTTCTTGATGACGTTGCTCGCTGACATCGGTTCTCCTCTCTACAAGGCAAATAATTTAACTGTGAAGTGCTCTATACTTACATGTTCTAAAAAAATGGTACTGCACACTCACCAAGAAATAACTAAAATATTCAGCAGAACTGAGGGGTTGACCAAAGGATGTACTTTTTATGCTTAAGTTGTACTGACGGGGAAGCCAGCCAAGTTTTGAATTGTTCTCACTTGAAAGTGCGGCTACATGTTCAGCGTATGAAGAGGTGTTCAGGTCATCTTGATGGCCATCCCTGTTATGGGACTTGGCCCCCACAAACCAGTCATCAGTTATACTAACAAATTTTTCTTCCTCTGGAAAACCTTTGTTGTCTGAGGTTGAAGAACCAACATCTTTCCAAGGAAGCTTGTGATGTGGTATGAGCCACCGGAGACCTCTTGTTGTTTCATAATATTCAACAGGTTGGTTAACCGAAAACCAGCCCGAGAGGGCAAAGATCTGTAGGTGTCCTATTAGTCCCTGTAAAGCAAACCATGCTTTTTCAGAGATTATGTATATTTTTGAGGTCTGAGAAATACATAATTGTTAGCAAACAATTCAACATTTACATGTAGATTCGTTGATGGACTGGAAGCAGCACATTTTGTACCTCCTGAAGCAAGCATGCTTATTGCTTCTAGATTTGCAGAGGACAGTGAAAATATAGCAGCCACAAGTGACGTAGCAATTGTCCCAGCGCTCACAAATGAATGTGATGCAATGGACGTTGCAGGAATGGAATCTGAGGAGATCATATCCAGGTTATAATACAAAAATAATATCTGAAGCTCTGCTTAACGATTAGCACGTGTTTAAACATATATTCTTCTGCATGTGAGTATGCAGTGTATACTCGTGAGATTCTACATTGTTGTGTTAATGTATCAGGCATTTCTGTAGAAGTGCTCATCACTCATCCTGGAATTAGTTGAATGATTTAAATGAAGAGCATTCAACTCTTAATACTAAGAAAATGAAAGTTCAGTGATAAAAGAATAGTATCTATATGCAGAAAGCAAAGAATTATTCATACAATGCTTTACTTCAATTTGGTTAGATGCCATATTTTCGTTTCCTGAAATATCAGTTACCTTCCCTGCAGGAACGGTAACTGACACCACCGTTTGAGTTACTGCTTGGACAGACAACGAGTATAGAGCTCTTGATAGTTCCTTTAACCTACATCAAACAAAAATTAAACCCTTCATGAACATGTTTGTTAGTTGTGTGTGTGTGTGTACTGAATTGCCTAATTGACTTGCCTGATTAGTCTTCCTCCCATTACTTCTACCATAGTGGCCTCAAAGCCAAAGACTGGCTTTGTGAACTCAACAATTATGTTGATGTGAGATTCCTTTGTCACACTTTGTGAGCTGGTCCGTAGTGTAACACCAGGTTTCATTGAATCTGCCAGAAAAAATTAGGGCTTAGCTTAAAGTAAAAGTTGCTAAGAGAATCCTGTGAGTAATCTGAGCAGAGTTTGGCATACCATAAAGGAATGTAATAGGAGAAACAGGTGAGACGGGAGTGCCTGTCCTGCCAAATATTGAAGAAGCTAGTAATTCAGCCGTGATGATCTCAGTTCCTGAGATGTTCTTGAGCTTGAAAATGAAAACCAAAAACTATCAGTAGAGAGGAATATGAATGTTACGAAACAGCATAAGGGACTCGGATAAGTTATCTGCTCACTTTAAAAGCAAAACGACGGGTCTCATTTTGTCTGACGTGGAAAGGAACTAAGGTACCAGAATTGACTCGTAATGTGTTGAGAATCTGCTTAGTTGAATTCCTTAAGGGAGTGCTGAAGTCCAAGAAAATTATCAGGTCTTCTGTTTTGCTAGTTGCAATCACTGTTCTTGGGACTTTGTTAATTACCAACTCATATGATGGAACTGAAGTCCAGATATCTACTGTAACTGGTCTTCTATCTAAGCCATCAAACTGTACTTTCAGTTCCATGCCAATACTAATTACGTGACAGTACAATAAATTGGCAACTAGCACCTTACCGAAGTGAATGGTCAAGGAAGAACTATTGGTTCTATTGAACCTGTTTCCAGCTTGATCCGCACAAATATTATCTGCCAATTGGATTACTGCACGCCCATATGCACTTTTTGAGGAGAGAATCACTTCAAGACTATAGTGAGTGCCTGGTCTAATCATTTGCAGAGAAGAAGCACGCACATATGCAGGACCAGTTACGGAGACCTTGCAGGAGAACCATCATTTAAATATTTTAAACTTTTTAAGAAATAATGGCAGGTGCGTACAAACATAGTTCTAGTCATTAGAAACCAACTTACATCACAGTTTGATGAGTTTAGACAATTAAATCCGCCCAGTCCAGTGCATGGTTCGCTGAATGTGATATCAACTGATACCCTCTTGGCATTTGTATATGTCTGTTCACTAGAGATGATTGCTGTTGGGGCTATTCTGTCTATTGTAAAACCATCAGAAAGCAAAGTCAAATGAGAAAAAAATTACATTTCTCTGTAATTTTTCACCCAAACAAGGGAGAGTGTGGGTGGTCACCTATAAACCATGAGTAAGTTGATGAACTTCTTTCTCCCTTGTTTGTAGTAACATTGAGAAGAAAGTTATGCTCATCATTTATAGTTAAGTTCTTCAACACAATGCCATTAGCTCCGCAAGGAAAAGCCTTGCCATCAAGCTGTTACAAAAACACTCGTTATATTATATTCACAATAACCTGGACTTGAATGTGATATTGTATGTTTTTTTCATATCAAGATTTGATAGAACACTTTCAACAATAATGGAGGGATTCCCAAATAACCATATTATTAGAAGAATGATAAAGAGAAACCACACACCTCACAGGAAAATAAACAAGTATTTCTCTTACAAGCATTGGTACCATCCAACCTCTTAACCAAGTACTGGAAAACGGCGTTGGAGGACCTGGTCAGAGTTGGTGGAGTACGACTAAAATGAACTACAAGCGATGATTCTGCTAGGCATAACTGTGCACCCACCATTATCAAAACGAGAGAAAGAAGTTGGAGAAAGTTGAATATAGCCATATTAGCAGCTACCATGTACTCCGCATGGAAGCCAAAAGTGAAGGAAGATGAAGAATTGGAGTTGAGGTTGCTGGGAAGAAAGCACAAAGCAGTTATTGGCACTGGGCATTAAATGTGCAACGTTCATCACAAGCCTTAAATGCACAAGCCACCAATAAAACCTCAATGCAACAACCACAACCATTACTGTCAGCATCTTAACTGCTTTCAATAAGTTCAAAAATCCCATGTTACTTTTTGTTCGCCAATTCGAAAATCTTCTTCTTCTTTTTTTCAATTCCACTGATTCGCAAATATTTTTAAAAAATTATTCATTTTTTAAAAAATATTTGAAGAAAAATACGGCATATTACGCTACTGAGCCGATACAAAAGTACTGGCTGCCTGGTCTGATTCTTATTTTATCAATTATTATAACACGGGGATTGCTATTAAAAGCAATTACTTTTCCAGCGCAGATTTTCTGCGTTTTTGGAAGATAAAATTGATACTGACAGTGCTCAGACTTAAGAATAAATGGAGCCGAAGGTCTCTTCAACTTCAACGGTAGAAATTGTGATAAGCAACAGAGCTTTAAATTCCCCGGAAAAGATGAAAGCAGGCCTTTTATTTTGCTTAAAGCAAATAAGAAAAGAAAGGAAAGAATTCTCGCTTTTATATCCAACTGGTTTCGTTTTATCATGTACCATGAGATTGTCCCAATCTAGAGAACAGACATTCATGGCTTCCAATTGGTTTTACTTTTTGTTTCCAACTGAGACATTTATGGCCGCCATTTTCTAATCAGAATAGACGTTAGTATAGTCATTAGATTAGATTCTTCACAATCACGGTTAAAATAATAGCATCTTTTCTTTTTTGCTTTTCTACGAGCAATTAAGTTTTTTTTTTTAAATAACCATTTCAAATATAAGGAATTAAGAATGTAAACATAGAGGAAATAGATGAAGAAGTGGACCCATCAGATCCTGTTTGGATGTGGGTAAGCAAACTTATCGTACCCGCAATAGATCACAGCTTCATAATCCAAAGGGAAAAAATTTTAAATCAAAACTCTGACAAGCAATTTATGGTCCCAACCATAAAAGATGAAAGATTTCCCATTTGAATAACTCAAAAGCATTCTAACAAGTTCAGGACCACTATTCTATCATTCATGGGCCTTCATGTCTGAGACATGAACTCAACAACACCATATGCAATGCCCTAAATTTCAATATGAATTAGAAATGACTTAGAGCGTGTTTGGCATCACGACCATACCTCTTAAACCGACTTCTCTACCGGAAAATGATTAAAAAAACAACTTTTTGTTTAAATATCATGTTTTGAGTGGCAACAAAGGTAAATAGGCTTATGTCTAAAGAGAGCTTTTTTCCAAAAGCTCCAATTCATTGCTTCCGACTTCTCCACAGCAAGTTTGGATAGGTGGGGCCCATGAGTGAGGGAGGAGAGAGAATGCTTTATGCATGATGTGTATTTTTTTAAAATTTTTTAGCCCAGCCATTTTTTAATGTTAAAGAAATTATTTTTTGAATAATATAACCATTTTTAAAAATAAATTTATTATTTTCTATCATGTTTATAAAATCTATGGAAAATTGAGAAAAATGTTGTATTAAAAATTTAATTAGTAAGAAGTAATTGATAAATTTTTATATAGATATAGAATGCTTGTATTATGATTTAAGTCCTTCTCACTAATTATATTTTTAATAGGAGGACTTTTTCTCAATTTTTTCTAAAATTTAAATATATTATTTTAGTTTTAATTATTCTTAAAAATAACTATTTTTATTTTTATAATTATAATTTTAATTAAATATGTATTATTTAATAAAATTTATGTTCTTTTCAGTCATTTTACATCTAAACTTACTTTTACATTTATCATTCAAACAAGTTTTAGCTTCTCAAACTGATTTTTTTACAAAACTCAATCCAAACATAAATCACATTACACTATCTAGTTTTTACTCAATTTGACTTTAATAAAAGTCAGATTGAAAAAAAAATTACTTCTGTCACCGTTATCTCAAACACACCCTTAAACTGTTTGGTTCTAGTTTCAATCTCCCACAGAATCCCTCGTGTCTTTGAGAAAACAGGGGGGGAAAAATCATTAACAACAGTTTCCGGGTGCCGAAAATTTCAATTTTCAACCACGTTGGATTATTAGCTTTCAGTGTCCAAACACAAACGTGTATCTCTTAACAAATAATTATGAATTCCACTATTTCGGGACCAGAGGCATTAATGAAGTCTCCGTGTCGCCTTTAAGAAGCATTAGTAAATAACATAGCCGGTAACGTGTCAGACTCCTGCCTTGCTACCATGCCATATTTATTTCTGAAGCAACCTTCGTCAAAGTCATCCCATTGTGGTTGGTTCAGCGGCTCTTACAGAGCCCATCCAAGAGGATATACGGATAAGTCATTAGGTCTTGACGGATTTACGAATGTTTAAAAAAATTGATTAAATCAGTCCTTCGTTTCACTTTCCTTAAAATACCACCAAAAAAGAGCATTAAATGAGGAAAATTGTGAAATTAATAAAAGTAATTTTTGAAAAAATAAAATGAAATGAAAAAAACTTGTAGTCTTGTATTTAGAATTTCAACTAAATTACTCTTTTTTGGGTCCCAACTAAATCTTATATTTAATATTACTATTTTTTTTTTGTTACAAAATTTTAGACAGGGTTTGAGCTCAACTCAAGTCAAGAATAGGGCGCTTGAATGGCTCTTCCTATGCGATATTAATGTTGAGCAGGACAAACCTATATTATATCCTTAGGCATTAACCGAGGTGTCCCCATTCTAAAATACCTCTTCAAATGCCACGAGGAAGAATCAAACCCCTTTTAAAACTTTCACGCTTCAGATACTAGTGGTGGGAAGCCCCAAGGATGATATTCACCGAATTATGGCAGATTACTAATTTAGACTTACGTCGGTTAAAATAATTTCCCCCATCCCCTATTCTTTGTTTCACAACCTCCACCGTCCCTTTGGGGAACTACACTAATTCAGCAAACAAGTCTTGAAATACGCTCAAATTTAGATTTCTTTTTCTAAAAAAAAAGAAAGAAATAGAAAGTTGATTTAGTGTTTGCATACCGAATACCTTCGTGTCTCAAGAAAAACTGTAACCACTGTGATTGCAAGCTTTACGAAGTTAAGGCTGCATGAAGCACACAACCATTTTCTTCTTTATCTTTTTTGGTCCCTGCTCGGTGAGTAAACTTGAAGCATTATTTACTTGCGGGGTTCAATGTGTCTGAACTGTGAAAGAAAGGTTTAACTTCAACACCATCCAACCCAATAATCCAATCTATAATCCGGAGAAAAGCACATCAAGATTCAAGAATCAGTGGGCAACTTCCATTATAGTGTCTAACTATCACAAGAGATCAATAAACAATGGTTTTAAGTGAAAACTTGGCCCTTATTATTTCCCCGCCCAAAGTAATAGGAGCGGATGACAAAAAAATTTTGGGGGGGGGGGGTGTATATATGTACACATTTCGAAGCCAGTGCTGCTGGTTTTATCTCAATACTTGGAAACATCTACTTGACGGATAGGCTGCATGATTGAATCCAAATAGAAAAATGTTCCTATGGTCGATGAGTAAACGATTAGCTGGCGAAGCATATATTATGCGATAAAAGGGGCCCACAAGTGAACAAGAAGAACCAAAACCATGATTGAAAGAATTCTGCATCAATTCAAATGATTGACTTATTGAAGGGCTGATTGAGAAGGAGGTGGTGGGTGCGGTTTCCCAAATCCCACCCATGCAACAATGCCAACTGCCAAAATTATCCATCCAAATATGTCATACTTCAGATCACTGCTCTGCTTTATCTTTTGGTTCTGAAACAGAAAAGACATGGATCACGGAAAAATGAAATGAAAAGACTCGTAAAGAAATCAGGACTATACAGCATTTCTCCTATAATCAGGTTTTCTACCGATGGTTTTTGCAACATCTATATACCACCAAAGTTAAACTCATTCACCGTCATGGTCTGCGATCAGATGGCTGACATGACAACAGTAGTGAAGGATAGTTCAAGATATGCTAAGGCGTCAAAATAAATAACAGCCCATGAACAAACCGAGTTCTTTACACACAACACGAACACAGATAACAATAAGTGTTGGCATGACGAATTATGCTCAACGGTCGCCTTTTTCCCACTACAGGTGCAACAGAGCATCCCCATAGTTCTGAACACATGACCTGAGAGGACCAAGTTCTAAGTATTCTATAGTACCTGATTCTTTACACAGATAATCATATAAATAGATGCGTGCCTAAATATCATCAAAGTTCAACAGAAAAGTATGATTTATTATAATCACAAGGCACCACTTCCCAACTGGAGACACGCCCCTTAGATGCATAGGCAGATTAAAAGCCTCACTTTGGTAAAAGAACAATAGAGCTCAAATTCATGCCGGTTGAAATAAAATTCGTTAATGCCTCTTAGCAGATGCAGCCGGTGCCAAAAACACTCAGGAGACAGAGATGTAATTCCATGTCCTAAGTTTAACCGCTAATTTTTCTTTTAAAAAGAAACTCATGGAAAGACGATAAAAATTTGAAGTCCCACCTTTGTACCAGATGAAATAGAAGATCCAGAAGTTTCCACTGCCTGCTGAGCAAAACCGTGCTCATGCATCCCTTTATGTAGCTCAGAAGCCTTGAGAAACAGGTATTAGTAATTGAAAAGGTTAACATTAGCTGTGAAATACGCTCTGATGTGAAAGAAAATGTGGTAAAGCACTTGATAAATTAAAATTTAAGCAGAATTTTGTCTCTGTTCATCACTTTTAGTTATCTAAATATCTCTGGCTAAATTCTCCTCTAGGACAGGTGAAAACCCTGTCATGAAAATGAAGCAACTGGTAACGCTCATCTCTGTATCACAAGATAAATGGCAATGCGCAATTGCAACAAATAAAACAGCCGAATAACATAATGCCAAAAAGCTATGAGAAAGAACATACCTTCGCAGCCATTTCCAAGGATTTTCGATAGAGTTCGTTCCCAGGATCCTAGTATACTCAGAAGTTCACAACTCTTTCAGTACATTTACAATTTACAATTATAAATAAAGTGCTTCCCTTAACATTGGTGCAAGAGTGAAAACCTACCTCATCAGCAGCTTGCTGAAAGTGTTCAGATGCTCGATCAAAATCAACTCTTGCCATTTCTTGATCCGGAGTTAAAAGTGCACGTGAAGTATAAGCATTTCCCAGGCACCAAACAGCATCAGGCTTCTTGGGGTTAATCATCAATGCCTCCTCCAGCTTCGTAATAGAATCTGTATCAAACGAGTCAGCATCCTAAAATTAGATTATATAAACTGGAGATGCGTCAGCAACTACTGTATTTTCCCATAAAATTTCAGTAATTATAAATGGTCGGATTCAACAGTCACTATATTAAACTAAAGCTTCAAAAAAAAAAAAAAAAAAGAACAAAAGGGCAACAAATTAGCACCTTCGACCATCTTCTTGGCATCGGAATTACTGCTTTGAAACTGAGACAACTCCAGTAAGGCGCCGCCCCATCTTGTTAAGTTCTACATGGATTAGAAAATAAAGTTCCCGTGAGCCAAAACGAACTCATCAAGGCCATTGAACAGAGACTGATACTCCACCAATCTTACTCCATCGGCCGAACAAAATTAATTAATTAATATATTGGGAATACTGAAAAAGGCAAAAACAAAGAGCACTGACGTCGGCATCTTGAGGGTTAGCCGCGTAGTTATCTTCAGCGATTTTACGGGCATGCTCAAAGAATAGAAGTTGATCAAAATCCATTGTCTGGATAGTGTATTTCTCGGATTTTGGGTTTTGTGGATGATGAAAAGAGGGTGACGTAGAGTTGATAGTATAGAAGTATTATCCGGTGTTCAGTTTTACGGCCCCTTTTCGAAGCCTACGTTCATTCCCCAGGGCCACGACCCGGGCCTGTTCAGTTTAGGGCCTGTTTGGGTACTCTAAAACAATGGTTTCAGAAGCACTTTTCCGCAAAACGAGGTAACCTCCTCCACATATTTACTTCGTAATCCGTAAAAGCACTTCTGAAACCATGATTTGGTTTCTATCCAAACACTCCCTTAGCCTTTAACATAAAACTAATTCAGACACCCTTACGGCATGCGTTGATATTCACTCACAGTTATCTTATAACTTACATGTTACTTCTTGTACGTTTGGAACGGGGTTGATTTTGGCATATTAGATTCATATAATTTGACCTTTTATAAAAGAGCCTATTGATTTACCTATATCTGTTTATATAAAAAAAATTTAAGTGAATTAAGAGAGTGTTTGGATAAAACCAAATCATGGTTTGGAGAATAGATTTTGTGAAAAAAGTGATTCTAATAAAGCGAGAGTGTTTGGATAGTTGTTATAAGAAGCACTTTTTATATATATAAATTACTAAAAAAGACATAAGTTAATATGATAATTACATAAAAAAATAGATTCTATAATATATTTTAATTTGAAGAAATAAAATTGTCAATAATATATTTTTTACCAGCATAATTAATAATATATAAGATAATATAATTAATAAATAATTAATATGTGTATATATATTTATAAAATATAAGATTAAATATGTTTATAAAAAAATAATTAAGGGGTGTTAAAGACATATTATCATTGAGATTTAATCTGATAAGTATAATCATACTCTCTAATCTGAGTCAAAAGTAGAATGAATTTATTTTTTCTAAAACGATGGTTTTGAATTCAAAACTATGGTTTGTTGATTTTATCCTCTGTTTAGCACATCCGAGACCCAAAACTATACTTTCTTGTATTACCTAAACAGGTCCTGAGTCGAAAACTCACCAAAACCAAAAGATGCGTTTTTGCTTCGGTTTAAAACAAAATTTTCGACCAACCCAATTAAACTAGATTGTGGACTAGGGTAATTGGGCCAACCGGGCCATCAACCCTCTTGCATTTTGCCCACATACAAAATACATTAACCATTTTTTTGCTAGGAAAAAAAAAGAAGAAGACGCTGCCACAATTGAGTTGGAGGCTATTTTTCTTTGGAATTATTGTTGCCAATATTATTATAAGGACTTGAAACCTAAGACCTAAATTCTTAGTTCAGAATTATTTTCTTAAAGTTAACGAATGCTCAGCCTTCAATAGCCCTTCACGTTCAGGTCCAAGAGGAAAAACTGGGCATCACATGGCTCCAACACGTTGTCGGCATATCACGGGGCATTGCACGATATGCGTGAGCGTTGCGTATGTATATACATGGGCGGGGTTCAAAGGAAATAAGTTGAGTTAGTTATTTGTCATAAATAGGTGGTATTTAACTAAAATATCCTTACTAATTAAGTGTATTGACTGGAACTATTATTGTTAGAATGACTACTTTGGGAAAAAAATATACTACCTCCGGTCCTAATTATAAGAGCCAGTTGACTAATTTGAAGAGATTAAAGAAGTAAGTTGAGTTAGTTATTTGTCCTAAATAGATGTTGTCTTTCCTAAAATATTCTTGCCAATCAAATGTATTGACTAGAACTATCATTGTTAGAAGGGCTACTTTGAAAAAAAATGTATAAATATGAGAGACAAAGTGGATTGGAGTCTTATATTTAGGACCAAAATAAAAGTCAAATAAGGTCTTATATTAAGGACCGGAGGTAGTATAAATATAAGAGACAAAGTAGATTAAAATCTTATATTTAGGATCAAAATAGAAGTCAAACAAGATCTTATATTAAAGATAAAAATAGTATTTACTTATTTCAACTCATAAACACGTTTGGAATTCCAGCACTTGTTTGGCTGAGACTTATAAGCCAAAAGTTAGATTCAGAGGTGCAATTATCTTAAGTTAAAAAACAAGCTACTTTTGACTTATTAAAAGTCACGTATCGGTTCATTTTACTTATAACTTACTTTTTATTTAACCATAATTTAAACAACTTTTTATACAATGTAATTTTTATAAAATCCAATCTAAATATAAATCATATTACCTTATTTAACTTTTATTTTATTTACGTTTTCAAAAAATCAAATTAAAAATAAACTATTTGTCCTGTCCATAACTCAAACGGACTCACTTGTGCAGTTAGTGATGGCACTTATGATCATCTTCTTCTTTTTCCAACGCATTATCTTCCTCGGTTTCGTGTAACATGGTTTCAGGGAGTGTTTGGAAATATATAAAAATGTTTTTAAAAAACACATTTTCATAAAACGAGATAAACTTCTCTATATATGTATTTTGTACACCGTAAAAATATTTTTAAAACTATGATTTAGTTTCCATCCAAACACCCTATAGTTATGTGCATATATATTATACTACATTAGTTTTTTAATATAAAAAATATGACATTGTTCAGGTTAAATTACAAGTTAAATTTTATATCAAGAATAAGAGATGGTATTTTATATACAGTTATTGAGCTGATTAAAAATAATCACACCACTAAAATAAGTGTTTTTATGAAATCATCTTATTTATGTTGAATAAAATTGTCCTTTTATCAACGAGACAAATTTCAGATGCATATATATAATTAATTTTTAAGTTAATATAATTTTTGGTTTGCAAATTTATTTTTATTTTAGTTTTGTTTTCTTGAGTTTTAAACAACAGATTTTGATTCTTCAACCAGCAAAATAATCCAAATTTTTATTAAATCATAAGACTAATATTTTAAACAAAAACAAATTAAAATGATAATAGACTTGAGAAAAAAAACTACATTAATTCTTAATTTTTTAATGAGTAAATTTTGGCCAACTTTGTCCCATAAAACGTGCGATGATGTCTCCTGTGCTTTAAAAATCGTCAACATTCGAATTTAATTTACATTAATTTTTGGCGTCGTTGTGGAAGTGGAACCCGTTGGGCACTGGACCGATCATGTTAAATGCGGCCACGTCACCGCCACCAACCAGAGCTTCTCAATTCTGGAAACAAATTCAAAATCACAAGTCATATTACATGACCGGAGTGGCAAATCTTGTAATTTCTTGAACATTTCATGGGCCTTTTCAGAATTACGAAAACTTTCGCTGGCAATAAAAATCCAGCCACCTGGTCTGGAAAACAGTCTCCCTAGCGTCTTCTGCGTTTCACAGTTAAGTCGGCAAAAAGGTGCTGCTCTCTTTTCTTCTAGATCTCCAAGACCAGGGTTCTTTCATTGTTTATACTGTTGTGTGTATCTATTCGAATCAGTTGCTTGGGTCTCTTGGTCAAATCTATTGTTGCCATTAGCTTCCCTTCACCTCCTTCCCTCTTTCATCGGATATCTGTTCGGTTCACTATGCGGATTGTGCTTTGCCTTGTTCTAGATTCTATCCTATAGATCTTCACTTGCAACATTTGGGCATGATTGCCTCCGATCTTTGATGTAGTTTCTTTGTTGGCGCAATTATTGCTATATACGATCATCTAAGTTGATTGGCAACGTGAAGTCTATGTTTGGAGTAATAATTTTTTTGCTTGATACGGAGCTTTAAAAAAATTACTTTGGTTATATTGCTCACATGATCATGGTGGAATTGGATAAGGAAAATGTGTTATAATCTGAGGTTAGATACTTAAAGAACTTCTTTCTTATCTACATTTTCGTGTGGCTTAGATCTGATTTCCTCTGACCACCGTCTCGATATAGTGTTTAGTGCTTCTTTTAGTCCTGGTCTAATTATGGTTACCTGATTGTACCGAGTGTTGTACAATTTGCATGAAGGTGTAATAAAAGCCTTTTTTTCCAGGAAAAGTAATTAATCTATGTCACTTTAAGTTGAAAAATATTTCTATTGAAAGACTTTAAGTTTTGAAATTACACCGAAAGAACCAAGGACAAAAAATCTGCATTTTGAGTTCGGGTCTTTAAATTCTTAAGGTTGTTATCAAATTTACTGTTTTTCAATATAAACACTGACAATTGGCAATTGAAGTCATTAGCTGGATTTTCTTCTTGCTTCTAACTGTCTACAGTAGTTTACCAATTCAAACTTGAACCGTACTCTTGTAGTTTCAAATTAGGGCGTACATGAGCATTTTTTTTTGGGAAAAAATATTTTTGACTAATGTGCATGAACATTTTTGATGCATGACTTTTGAATTATGGCAGACTTGATTTTTTTTAGGTGTAATAGTTTGATGTTCTATGTTGGCTGAAGCGTTGCACCACTGTAAAATTTGTGTTGTCTCGCGTTGCTATATTTTTGTCTGGCTTAATCTAACTAGTGCGGGTTGCCTTTCTATTGTACTAGGGTTTCAAAAGATGGACAGCTTGCACAGCTTTTGGCAGTTGGGAGATGAGCTTCGAGGACACTCGAAAACATCAGAGGATCATAAATGGTTAATGGTTGCTTCCAAATTGGCTGAACAAACAAGGTCAAAGGGAGAGCGTGTCAATAATCTTGATCTAACAAAAGGCCCAATAGAAACAAGGTCAAGGGATAAGTTTGGGATCCAAGAAGATAACAAGTTTGACACTCTGAACTTCAGCATGCTGAACCTGGAATCTAAGTTCGCTGAAAATGTGAGCAAGAGTTCCCTCAGGAATGGAGTTTATAATATGAATGTGGTGTACCCAAAAAGCAATGCAGGCTTAGTGGCAAACATCAGTGGCAACAAGTATAACAACAATCTCCAGAACAACAAGGAGTCCAACAATAATGGAAGCAACGGTAACAATGAAACAGCGGCACAAATGCAGCTGACAAAAGGTTCAAGACCTTGCCTGCATCAGAGACGCTCCCACGAAATGAGGTGCTTGGTGGATACATCTTTGTCTGTAACAATGACACGATGCAAGAAGACTTAAAGCGTCAGCTCTTTGGTAAATTTCATATTCTTACTTTACTGGTTTGATTTTCATAACTCAAAAGGCACCTATTTGAAAATTGTTTGGATGGTTTT